TCAATTTTGACAGTTCAGGCCAGAGTATCTCAGCAGCGAAAAAGGGCAACACAACAGAATGTCAGAATGTCATTATGCAAAGGACTAAAAGACCCTCATACCGAACTAATAAATTAATGCAAACTGGATCAAAATACGATGTCACACTGAAAATTATAAAATTTCTTGGAGACCTAGGCATAAATATTTCCAGCATTGCACCAAGCAGCAGGTTCTTAGATGTTAACAGCTGAACTGAAGCAACCTAATTTATTTATTATTTTTATTTTATGCTGTGTGAATGTATTGCCTGCTTCAACTGAAGCCAGACATTGTCGAGCAGGACCTTTGACTTATCTTCACATAGATGGAACTGGTAAAAGAAAGGAGCCAGGGGCTCCTCCTTGACCCATGTGACCCTTGAGGAACAGATCCTCAAATGACCTTAAGTGTAAAAATAAATTAATTTATTTGGGACAACTGTATGGTCTTAAACAACCAAAAGGAAAGTATAACCAAAGAGTAAAGTCATCAGTATATTTCTTTAAGAGTTCAAGGAATTACACTTTCCATATGAAAAGTTTAAAAGAAATAATTTAGACAATTATTTCTCACTGATGATTTTGTTCATAATCAGAAAGTGCTGCTCAGATGTAAGACAATTAATTTATTTGGGACAACTGTATGGTCTTAAACAACCAAAAGGAAAGTATAACCAAAGAGTAAAGTCATCAGTATATTTCTTTAAGAGTTCAAGGAATTACACTTTCCATATGAAAAGTTTAAAAGAAATAATTTAGACAATTATTTCTCACTGATGATTTTGTTCATAATCAGAAAGTGCTGCTCAGATGTAAGACTTCAAATCTTTTGAAAAGTTTAAAAGAAATAATTTAGACAATTATTCCTCACTGATTATTTTGTTCATAATCAGAAAGCGCTGCTCAGATGTAAGACTTCAAATCTTGGTCTGCAATACCGTAGTGCCCACCTGTAACTAAGAGAGACAACCCACTGTTGTTCTAAAATGTTGGATAAATTTGTTTTATCCCCCTATCTAGAAGCATTTGAGAGGGAACTGACACTGATTCTAACCAGTCCAACAGCTACCAAAATACCTGAAAGCAAATCCTGAAATTCCAATGGACTCTCATATGAACATTTGAAAATTGTCCTGTTTTGACTTTTGTCTAGTTCTCTGTCTAGAACTTGTAATGTTAACTACTCTTGCCTTTACATCTCCTCCATATCTCCTAGGCACCAGTCAAGGATTTTCTTTTCTCCCTACAGTTAAGAGTTGTGCAATTTGGGGAACTTTTAGATAGACCCACTAAAGGGGAACCCCAATTGCCTCATCCGGCATCCCTGTTCAGCATGGAAGAAACCAGAGAGGTCTGCATCCTCACTCCCTATTGGCAATTTGTATAACCTCTTCAGGGAATAGTGTGATAAGAATAGGAGGTAAGAATTGGCTAGCTGGTTAGTGTAAAAAGACCCCAAAGAAAAGTAGCCAGCTTCTTGGCTAAAATCCAAAATGTCCTTGGGCCTCTGAGGAATATACCCTGTTCCAAAGGCCAGAAATTTTGAAAGTTTTTTGGAGCTCTCATCTAATCCTTAAAATATTTCAGGGCTACCTCTTCAGAGGGGGGATTGTTAGAGTAGCAAAAAGCCCCATAAATAAAAAGAAGAAAGAGTGCTTATATGCATGTATGAAATTCTCAATAAATTATTTTTAAAAACAAACACAATCATAAGGAGACATTAAAAAATGTCAAAGAATGAAATTAAGAAACAGGAAAGCGCCTACAAAATGACAGACAATAACTTACAAACATCTACCTGGCAAGACACTTTCATCTTCAATAAAAAAACCTTTCAATGCAATAGTAAGGTACATTATCCAGTTTTAAAGTGGGCAAAGGATTTGAATCAATATTTCTTGAAAGATTTGAATTGTATATTTGTTGAATACACAATTGACCAGTAAGCACATGAAATATGCTCAGCATCGTTTGTGTTGTTTATATGCAAATCAAAATCACGAGGTACCACTCCACATCCACAAAGATGGCAAGAGAGAAATGAGAACTCTCAAATGCTGTCGGCGGGAGTGTAAACCAAGCCACTTCTGAAAACATCAATTTTAAAATTACATTTTCATTTTAACATCATAAAATTTTCTCAAAAATTTAAACACAGAATTACCAAATATCTCATGCAATTCTACTCCTAGGAGGACAATCAAAACCATATGTTAATGTAAATCATTTTGTTATTATCACAACATTGTTAGTATAATAACCAGAGGGGGAAAACCGAAATGTTCTTGAATTAAGGGACATAAGGGCATAAATAATGTTGTATATCCACACAGTGGAATACTACTTAACCATAAAAAGGAGTCAAGTACTGAAAAAGCAGTGAATGTGCTGCAATATGGATGAAAGTTGAAAACATGCAGAGAGAGAGAGAGAGAGAGAGAGAGAGAGAGAGAGTTGACACACAGGTGCTGGATGTTTTCTTTTCCATGAAATGTCCACCTTAGACAAATCCATAGAGAGGTTTCCAGAGACCAGAGGGGAAGAAATAGGAAGAAATGAACCAATGGATGCTCTTTCCAGGGATGTGTGCTCCTCTTTGAGAGTGTGGAAAAAAGAATCAGGGAAAAGGGCGTCATCAAGATGACTTTGCTCCTAAGTTTTGACTTAGAGATCATGGGTCAACACATGGAAATGGGGCTATGGGTCTTTACTCTTGTGGGGTATTCCAGATTATTTTTTTAAGCACTTGGCCTATTGAGCCACAATTAAAGGAAGAGTATTCTTAAATGATTTTCTTCTGCATTTGAAAGTAGTAAATTTAAACATCCTCTTTTGAAAACCTAGATCCATTTTTTTATATATCCATCCCATGCAGCCAACAAGACTTCAGTAGACCTAGTAGACGAGAAAGAAGAGGAGAACATGTTGTTGTTGTTGTTTTACAGTTCTGGGGATTGAACCCAGGGCCTTGAGCATGCTAAGCAAGCACCACACCACCAAGCTACATTACCTGCCCTAAAGAAAATTTTCATTTTGTCTGGCTCTCCTGGCTGTTCAGAGCAAAATACTCTAGGGCTGCCCATGGCTCTGCTTCTCAGGACTTGAGTTAACCATGCAAAATGTTAGGAATGGCAGAATGTAGCCTACTTGCTTGTAAGCATCAGAAAAGCAAGACAAATATGCAAACAATATTTATAGAAAGGCTTCTCATAACTAGAAGCGTATCTTAACAGCACAGACATGCTCACAGGCTATGCGCCAGCCACTTCGTGAATAAAAAATAACATATTCAGAAATTCAGTTACTACTACTTATCCATAGAGACTTTTAGTAAAAGGAAAAAGAAATCCCCAAGTCACACATTAGTTACTGTGTGGCATTTCTATATTCTGAGCACACTTCTATAAACATTGGGAAATGCTGTGTCTAGGGCCTTGAATGATTTCTAATGACAGGCAGGATTCAACAGGTCTCAGATTGTGGTATAGTGGGGAGAACGGGCCAATAGACAAGTATTACAGACTGAACATTTGTACACAAACCCATGCCCCAAGTTTGCCTATTGAGGCCCTATAAGAATGGTTGGGGGGGTGGAATCTTTCAGAGGTTTGGAGGATCATGAGAGCAGTATCCTCAGGATGGACTTATGCTCTTATGAGAGGTGACAAGAGAGAGATGACCTGTCTCTGCCCTTTGTGAGGGTCCTGCACAAAGGTAGCTGCCTCAAGCCAGGGGAAGGTGCACAGCATATCTACTAGGCTTGCACTTGACCTTGGAATTTCCAACCTTCAGAGCCATGAGTTGAAAATGCTT